CATTTCAAAATATATATATATATATATATATATATATATATATATATAAATCATCAAATATCTACTCACGGTAAATCGTACCATCATTCATACTAATGTGTGAGAAACCACACATGCAATGTATAGTACACGAACAAATTTTGTAATATTGTTTTAAATACAATGCATCTAATATGTCTTTCAAATTGATATATATTGACTGATTTAATCTAGAGTTTGTAACTAAAATACTTTGATTTATGAAAAAATACGTTTATAGCCATTGTATACTCTAAATGAAACACACAAGGTGACCCTAATCGACAAAAAGACTACAAGAAAGTAAACTAGTTTAGATTGCTCATAAGTCATAACAAATCGGTCTAATTAAGTTTTTAACAAAATAATGAAGAGGAATTATCGTATATATACCTATGTAGGGAACAAAAGATATAAGGGGTGCTTGGTAAATAGTTGTTAGCTAATTTGATTTGTGGGTTTGATTAGTTGATACTTGATAGCATTAGCTGATGGTAGAAAAGTGTGTGGTAAATTAGCTGTTAGCTGATAGCTGGATTTAATGCAAAATGACTACTACTTTGAACAATTTTTTGAATTTTAACATTTTGGAGCAATAAGTTACAAAAAGCTAATTAATCAAAACACTCATACGGATTGTTTAACAAAGTCAAACAACTAATAATGGTCAAATAAATCAAAATTAACTAATAGGCTAACTATTTTGCCAGAAAAGATCATATACATACACACATATATGATTGCACTTTTTGGTTTGCTGAAAATCACATGGCCATATGTTCCATCACTCAAATGGTGAACTGCTCCTCCTTTAGCAATACTTGTATTGACTCTTCTTGTTACCTGGTTTTTTGTGCTAATATCTAAATAAAATTCCTCACCTCTCTAGGGCGTTTCCTTCTTTTTCTTTTTCTTTTTTTTTTTTTTTAATGAAAGAAAATCTAATAAAATCCCATTTGCTTTTACGCACACCCAAATGTAGTTGAAAATCAAGAATTTTGGGTCATAAGAACTCTTTTCAACCACTCGTGAGATCCGAAAAATCATCAATGAAAGTGGTAAAAAAAGGGTTAGCTCGTTGGCATTTTACCTTAATTTCTGTCCCATTTTATGATAAAAAAGTTGATGATTTTCAACCCTCCAAGTCATGAGATTCAGAACTTATTGAAACACAGAGAGTCAATACATGAGTCACTTCATATCACTCGACCACAAGGTCATTAACATTACTATCATATATATACGTATAAACCATGTAAAATTATAATAATATTGAATATGGAAGGAAGTAGCTAGGAAGCAAGGATGAATTACATATATAGAATATAGATGAGAAGAGAATATATGTTTATAGAGTTACAGTATGCAGTGACACGTTGCCCACGTGAAAGCCTTTAGCTAGAGGGGAAGGATACATTGTTTCCATACAATTCATAATACTGTGCAGTAATAGTTTCTTTTTAAAAAAAATAAAAATAAAAAGAAATAATATTAATTAGCAATGAAAAAATGAAAGAAAAAAAAAATAGTAGGATGTAGGTAGGGTTGGGGTTGGGAATGGAATGCAAAGAAAGGTAGAATGATTTGACCAGTCGACAATGTCTCTCCCTCCAACATACAGATACAGGGATACGTTGTTGTCAGCGAATTGATGCAATACAACAACAGACACAACACACAAAATAAAATCTTTTATTTCAATTTCATGTACTCCAGGCCATCTTGTCCGATCCGATCCCAACTTCATTTTCTTTTCTTTTCTTTTCTACCATGTAATCTGTGTATTATATTCTATAAATTTTTAGTTTTTCGATCGCCCAATCATTCAAAATTATCTAACAAGCACTAACTATCTTAGTCAGTTCAATCGTTCAAGTTTTTGATAATCTGAGGATTAATGCATGCTTACTATATTTGTACGATGAAATGAAGATGATGATGATGATGAAGTGTTGTGTTGTTGTTAGTTACAGATTATATATATATATATATATATATATTGCTGCTGAAAAAGATGGCTGTCACTTCAATCTCTAACATAATTGACAACTATCACATCCAATCTCATCTTCTCATGGTGAGCAAAAAGGAGAGACATCTTCCCAAAGATTGCCTTTAAAGGAATGTATGTATAGTAGCTTCTTAACTCCCTCCTTGCAATTCCTTCCATTGTGGTCCATTTCTCCTATCTATTCTATTATTTGCAACTCATATATACTTGGTAGGTCATCAGAATGTAACGACAACTGTTATCTAAATATAAAGAAATAAAGTTACACTGCCTCTATTAACTTTTTTAAGTTTGATCGAGTCAGTTAACGCAATATAATTAAGATTATTTACATCATTATATTGTGGTCTTTTGTTTGTTATGGTCATAACTTATAAAGGCAGATAGTGACTGTGGGCTTTCCTTAAAAATTAGGTCTTTATTACTAGTTAGTTGTAGTTTTTGTAGGATCATGATATTGTATTATACAATGGTTGTATAGATGTGTGATTAATGTAGTTTCATGCTTTTAGGGTCCAGCAGGTGTAAAGTTTTAAGGGCACTGTGACAATTAATTACCATTTAATGACCACCAGACAAAGCTATAACTAAGTAAGTACAAATGGAATTTACATCTTTTACTGTTTAGTACTGTAATCTTTAATTTGTTAACATCATCGTACACTAAATTAATGTGGGCAGCTACTTAATTTGTTGTAAATTTTTTTTTTCGATTTCATTTTTTGCCTTTTGCTATTACATTCTTTTTTATGTAGCAAGAAATGATTGAAACAAAAAGTGTAAAAGCAAGCATGCATCAATATATGTACGTTGATAAATTGCGACATTTTTTTGTGCAAAATTGTCGTCATATATCGTTCGTCCTTGTCTCAGAAACATCGTGGAACCGACCACATTCCTATCGTCTACAAACGTACGAACCATCCAACGTTGCCACTATGAATTCAAATTGCTCTCTCCATATGATCTCTTAACAAATTAAAGGCTGGAGTTTGATTATCACTCGAAACACGTACTACAGTCATTTTTGGAGTTTCGATTATCACTTGAAGCATAACCACGATGTCTTAAAACCAAAAACCAAATTAAAGTTCAATATGGGATTATTGGACATGTTGAACCAGCATTGTTCATCACTACTGTTATTTGTATGTGTGCATTAATTATTGTTAGTGGGATTAGTTTTGTGTTTTCTTGGAAGAATCACAGTACAGCAGAGAATTGAAGCAAATTAAATTAAAAACCCTTGTAAGACAGATCAGAGGGTGAGTTGGACAAGAACATGGAAGCAAAAACATCGCGATTGACTTTAATATAATCTGCGGCATCATATCGTCTAACTGATACGAGGTTAATTATCGATTCAATATATATATATCTGTGGTTTTATTCTCTTATCCTCTGGGGAAAACGGTGCTTAATTAACCAAACCTTGAAGAACGTAACCCAGATTCCAATATAATTCCATTGCAACAAAAAAGGTACGAGTGTCAGTTCATGTCCCAATTTTTTTTCTCAAACAAAATTTAAATCTGTGTTGAATCATATATATATATATATATATATATATATATGCTTTACTGTGTGCTAGCTGCTATGTTTTGCTTGCTTTTACAGTATCGCCTCGATGATCTGTTTGATAAAAACATTGATGAGTAGATGCATGGTTGTTAACCCAGATCAGAGACCACAACACAACACTACACTACACCAAACCTAACATATATACCCTACAACTAACGAAAGCCTAGCTACTAAAATTCTCCATCTTTTCTTTCATCATGTAGTAGTAATTCATATTTAATATAATCTCTCTCTCTCTCTCTGTGGGCATTTTTCTCTCCCCAGCCGGCCACAGATACGTAGAAATATGTATGTATGTATGTATGTATAGGGTGCAGGGTAGGAGTAGATACACGAAACCCCACGCAGAGAACCTTCAAGTGTGTGAATGGTGCATGGGGAAAACCGATAAAGGTACAGTGCATGTTTAAATGAGGCAGTATAGACTGAAACATGTTTTTGGCATCTCAAGCTGTGAGCAGTAGGGTTTGGCTGTACAGTCTTTTTTTTTTTTTTTTTTTTTAATTATTTATTTTGAAAGTTATTTAACGCTTTGAGGGATGAGTAGTACGTACTGTATAGTATTTGCTTACAGTGTTGTGTTGAGAGTGGGTACTGGTAGGTGCTACAACCCTATAGATACCCCCTATCTAACTCATGCAGCATTGCCTATACATCATAACATAACAAAACAACAAAACTTTTATGCCCACTCTGTTCACCTGCCCAAACCTGAATGTCTCGAGATCAGACAATTGGTATCAGAGTAAGTTAATTACGGGATGTTTCAAGATTTAGCTAGGTATTTAATCAGACAATTGGTATCAGAGTAAGTCAATTACGGGATGTTTCAGGATCTAGCTAGGTATTTGATCATACAATTGGTATCAGAGAAAGTTATTAAAATACAAAAGATATAGATATTAGACGGGGTATTTAATTATATATGTAAGTAGTAAAGAAAATTGTAGATGGTAGTATGCAGCAGCAGCAGCCATGCAAGAGAGAGCAGATTCCGAACCAGAAATGGTGACAAAAATGAGATTAGAAAAGAGGTGATGGATGCAGGGAGTAGTACGAGTTTTACTATATATGTGATGTACAGAAATGGACATTGGCATGCCATGCTTTGATGTTTGTGATGGATATATCTCAGTCAGATATCCTAATGTAGAGATGGCAAAAGTTTAGGGTAAGGACCGCCCAGCTTCGTTTTGTATATATAATATATGTCCTTTCTCCTTCGCTACCTGCATGTGATTACTCCACTCATAATTCATAATAATACACTCAATTCATCCCACCATCTTTATCTCACGGTTATAATATATCTCCAATAAAAATGTCAATTAGACAATCTGATAAATGCACGTGTTAAAACTGTCTAAATTATATTGTCACCTCTACAACAAATTAAAAGGCTAATTTCCATTTATGATAGTGTTTGAGAATTGGAAGTTATGAAAGAGAAACACATGATCTGATCTACACAAGTTTGAGAATTGGAAAGCTAGGTGATGATCGAAAAATGAAACTACAAAACGCCTCTGAAGAATGAAGTTGGTTTTGTTCATAGATTACACATCGATGTTAACTTCTCCAAAACATATAATAAGCTCCTGATTTTTTGGTGTATTAATAAATCACGTCTCTACCTATTTTGAAAGCCAATAGATTATGAGAAACAGTGTGCAAGCTGCAATAACTGCTGACAGGATAAGAGTGTCTCTTGATTTCTTCCTCCTGATAGAACCTACATGCATGATCAAGAACAACATACAGTGTCCAGTGTAATTCTGAAAAAGAGTTATATACTACACTGCAGCTAGCCCGAAAAGAAATTAAATGGATTCAGAAGGATACCGATTAGGCCACGGATTACGGGGAACTTGTCACCAAGTTGCTTCACTTTTCCTTGAACATCACCAAATAATGCCCTCTGAGAGCCCAAGGCAGCCCTTGTTGTTTGAGCTTGATTAATCACATCGTCAATCTGCACAAGAGACACCGCACTTTGTTGAGAAAGAATGTGGTTGTTCTGAGGGTTATTACATACAATGTTACATAATAAGTTACACTGTTAGCTTTAAAGTAACAACATCATCAACTCTTCATAATTGTATGGAAACAGGAAACCCGCAGATCATGCACAACAATGCAGGCTTCTACTAATCTGTAGCAGTTTATGACCTACCTACTTTTTGACCTCAGGAGACTCTTCTCAATCCTATGCATTAGGGCACAGAAACAAATAGTTGTGTATTTGTATTACAAACCAGACGATTTCTTGATTTCTTTTGACAAGTTACAAGAGCTATCCTATATTCTGATGTTAAACAGCAAGGGAAGGAATGCAAGTTTGCAACCACAGGTCAGAGACTGTTCTTCCCTTTTCAACTCCAGCAGCAATCCAATATCCAAAGAATAACATGTATGTATGTATATATACAGAGAAAATATGAAGCACCATATTCAGCTGTCACCCATCTCAAACCCCTTCCTCATGAACATACCCAGGAAGTAAGAAAAATATATATTTTCTGCCCCAAGACAACACTCACTTTTGTGTCTGAAATCTGAATTTAACTTGGCCAGCTTTACATTATAGACTGTACTATTAATAACTGAGAAGGATGAGTCTGGAAGTAAAGATGTCACCATAACAAACATAATTAAGTTATTGAAGAAAATCAGTAATATAAAAAAGAGTTGCAGCAGATAAGGTATGATTATCAGAAAGCAATTAGTCTTACATGAGAAATACTTCCATGTATGGCAGCTCTCTCACGTAATAACTGATTTCTTGGAGACATGCTCCCTGCCTGCTTAAATACAAATCATAGATTAATAAGACAAAACACTTGCATCCATTAGAAAACTTAAAACTTGAGATTACTCACCTTGTACTCACTAATATCATCTCTTACAGAACTAAGAAGTTCTGCATGTTCCCTCATTGAGCTTATATTCCCTTTAATACGTCTAAACTCCTGAATACAGTCATGGAGTCAATACAAGAGAAACGATAACCAGAAACTATCAAGGATTTATTCCATGTACTAAGAGCAAGGATTTATTCCATGTACTAAGAGCATGTGCTATGAAAAAGCAGAGTGTAAGAATCCAAAAGCAATGTACCCATCAAGCATTATATAAAAAAATTCTACAAGCACCATAACTGAAAGCAATACATAAGATCCAATAATCCAGAATGGCAGAGCCATGTCACAAATTCAACATTGGATTCAAGTCTCAAAAATCAGCCACAAACTAGAACATCTAAAGAAACAACTAGCAATAGGAATATTATCCTAGAATTTGAAAGGAGCTTACCAATCAGAAAATTATCCTAATAAAAACTACAACTTGAAACCCTAATTTCCTGTTTTCTATCCATATTGCCTTAGAATCAGGTGTATTCTAAGCCAACAAAGAGCACATTGCTTTATGAAGCATCTCAATCAATGATTAACATTCGCTATCATAGTGTGAATAGCATCTAAAAGCCACATGAGGAATTTAAGAGATCGGATTTGGCACCTGTTCTTGCATGACACCATTAACAGATAAATGATGGTGCAGGATTAGAATTATGCTAACAAACATCCAGATTGCAGGATGGAGAAAACTAAACTCATTAACAGCAGTCTTTAAGGTTAGTTTTGCTATGCCAGTAAATGTTGCAGCCAGGTCACCCTATAGGAAACCTTGTACTAGTTTGCTAACTATAAATATTTAGTTGGGAACACAAAGCTTAAAGTTCCATGTTCCCTTAGATTAATCAAATACAAGTGGAACCAGAGTTCTCAAGTGAGAAGCAGGCAGACCTTCAGAAGCTGCATCAACAATGGTTAGCATTTAGAAAAGCAGAATTTAAAGGAAGCGGGGACAAAGTTTCTGTCTAAGTTCAAGCTTTCTCCTACTGATTCAAAGAACCAAGCAGCATCATATTGAAATAGTCGCCAAACTGCTGGCTCAGCCCTAGAACTTATTCTGAAACTTTTTCCTCATCTAGAACATATTTAGACAAAACTTTGTCATTTTAGGTCATAACTTCTACAGGGATAAACTTTCTGAATATTTGTTTAAAAAAGTTGATAAACTTAAATCAAACAAACACTAGCTTAAACAACTAACCTGAGTGAACTCATGCAGTATGTCCCTGTGCCTTGCCAATTTTTGGGTAACAGAAGTAGTTGGTGCCGCAGATGCTGCACACCGGCTCATGGCATCATTTATATCCAGTAGCTTCTCAAGTGATGACTGAATCTCCATTTCCATGGATTTCCATGATCGGCTCGACCCAAGAGTTGGTGAGCCAGAATCAACATAACCTGAATCAATTTCAAAAATCATTGCGGAAATCTAGTAGATGCAGCATTTCAACCCATTTAAACAGAGAGCCCTCTTTTAATTAAATGAAAAATGGAACCAATAATGTGTACGTGTTGATAAGTAATCATTAAGAGTTAAAGAGCTAATCATTAACACATCATAAGCTGTCTAATTAGTCATTTCTCATGTCTCAATTTCATCCAAAGTGTCTCAATAATCATTAAGCTAGCTCTAGTTATCTGACAGAGCGTTCATGAGACTCTCTCAGTTACTCTAAGTCCTGATCTCGCTTTGTAAGTGTTTCCCATACAAACATCAATCGATTAAAAGCATACAATTTTGCATTATTCTTAGAATGTAATCACTAAACACCGTTAACAGTTAAAAACTAAGACAGATAAAACGAGAGAATGAACGAATGGAGAGAATTGAAACACCTCCTTGAGTGAACCGAGCGCCGAGCTTAGCGTACGAAGAGAGCTTGACGTCGAGATCGCCTTCGATCTTGCGCGCCTCTTTGCGGAGCTCCTCCCAACCAGACTCCTGCAGCAAATCCATACTCGGATCCCCTGACATGCGGATCTGGCCGGATCCAATGCAATTCGTCTCTCTGTGCGGGAAGCGTCCGTGATCTGACAGTTACTACAGTTGGAAATTGTACGTGCTATAGCGCTTCTGAATCAGATAACAAATCCACTGTGATTTTCTGCCATGGCGAGTTGACGACTGCGTTTTGATCGGGTTCACTCGGGACTCGCGGGTAGCTCAGGAAGAGAGTAGAGTCACTTCAAACGAAATTACTACCATACCCTTGAAATTTTCAAATTAAAATTAAAAAAAAAAAAAGGAATAATGAATTTCAACATGGGCTATTCATATCTATGCCCAATATAAGGGGCCGAAATTAATTTTATAGTCAGGCCCACTGGCACTACTCAAAATGTCAAAAGGAAATATGATATTGAATATTTAATAAATAATTTTAAAAATTATGTAATAATATCAAATATATATTAGCAGAATAAACTTGTGAACAGAGCAAAAAAATTTATATTTTGGATGATCGAATTATTAATTTTATATAAATGAATTGTTTATTTTTAAGTTGTTCAGTTTAAAAAAATACATTGAAAATTTACATTCGATCACCGGTGTTCGATCTTGTGACCTCTACTCAAGAAAAGCCACCGAGATACCATCTGAGCAAAATGTGTTTGGCAGATTTCATCATATTTATTACATTGAAAATTTTGAAATTTTAGTTTTAATAAATTAAATCTTGAATTAGGTAGTAGTTGTAGTGGTTTAAGAATTTAGTTAAGATGTTGAAATGATAGAAAGCTGTCACTTTGAATGTGGATGATAAGAGCACATAATTTGAAAAGATTGATAGCCTAATCCAATGGGCCAGTGTGTACTAGGACATAATCTATCAAACTTAGATTATAATCTAATTTAATCTTCCCTTGATTTTGCATTCGTTGACTTAATATTTTATATTTTTGGTTTTTTTTTTTTTGGAACAAATAGTGGGATGATCCAACAACAAAATCATACCTAACAACTATACAACTATCACATAGGATTTTTCAGTTGAGGGGAATAAGCGTGTTCTAGTTTAGAAACTGACAAATAATGGTGCAAAGAGATTCTTCAAACAACTTCATGGTTGTGTGTCGCAAAGCAAAATCTTATGTACAAGATATGTGAACTTATAGGCATGCATCAGTTAACATTTTATGTTTTCATCGAGTTAACATTGACTCTGTTATAATGTAGTATCTGTTCATACTTTCTTAACCTATTGAAGTACAAACTTCTATTAGAATTCGAATATGTGACCTCCTATTTAGGAGAGTCACAATCATGTTGCTCAATCACAAAGTCTTTTGACACCTAAGATTTGTTTAAACAACCTTGATATAAAATTTGATGGGACAAATCCTACCCATGACGTCTAGGCTCATGGGACTTAATCAACACAACTTATTTGTAATCTAAGACTAATAATTGTGGTGTGGGAATTATGTCCAAAGTGGGCAGATTCCTTGTACGCACCGGCATTTGGTCCTGTCTGCTGAATCATTGAGTCACCGTGATTTACAATTTCTCATAATGCTCTGTCGGGTCGGAGTGTTGGGGGCCTTAGATTGGGATTCAATCTTTTTGGGAGAAGACTAATAATTATGGACTGTTATACTTTCATAAAACTTAAACTAATTACTCCGTATAAAATATGAAATTAATGATTGAGCACCTCTCTCAACCCAATTATTATTGCATGGACCATGATCCACATAATTGTGTGGACCATAAATAAAAAGTACATTTCTAATATACTAAGGATACATTATTTATGTACGTAAGGTACATTTTTTGAAATAACATTTTTAATATACTAAGGGTACATTATTTTATATAATGCACATTCAGTACAAAAATAATGTACCTTTAGTACAAAAATAATGTACTTTTAATATATTAAAAATGCACATGATATTCATGGTCCATACAATAATTTGCCCTCTCAACCACATGTTAACAATTACAACTATTAAGTTTAGATTGTGCATTAGAGAGTACATTGGGTACTTCTAACATTTCAACCCCCATAACCTCTATAATAACATTTTAAGACAAGTAATAACATAGGTCCTGGAATATTTTCTCCAATAATTATACCATGAACGAGTCCAAAATATACAATTTACATACTGAATGTTCACAATTTACCTTTTACAAAATTATGGACATTCAATATGTAAATTGTGTATTTTGAACCCGGGTCCACGTAATAATTTGCCTATTTTGAGTATTTTCTCTCTATGCTACTCTTGTTTGCCTATACTTATATGTGGCTCAAATTAAAAGTTGAAAACTAAGACATTTTTCATTATTAATTTGATTAATTTGATTGCATTGTGTACTTGATATCATTCAAATCAATCACTTCTAATTTAGTGCATAGATTTGTCACCATTTTAATTATTTTTAAAGAACATAGAATGACTTCTTTTTTTTTTTTTTTGGTAACATTTGATGTTCTCACTCTAATAAAACTAATTCAAATTCTTATTATGGGGTTATGTTAACAAACTTTGACTCGTATTTAAGAAAAAATCTAACTTAAAACTCTTTAACATGGTACACAAATTTGTTGACCTTACAAGTATATTAATAGTCAGACAAAAAATATTGAATTATTGAACCCGTACGATGGGCCTTTCCCCTACATACGTAAGTCAACTCCATATTTTAAGTTTACAAATTTGATTTTTATCAATATTTTTTTTTTATCAAACTCATCATATAAAATAAATTTTATCTCTTTTTTATAATTTGTAAGTTAATTTATAACAGTAGGATTTAACATGTACATACCTTCCCACAGTAATTACAAATAATTAAAAAAAAATCATTTTCCATGGGAGACCCAGAAAAGTATAAATCCGTATGTCCCATTGTACGGACTTGAAAAATATAACATGAAATTTCTGGTGTGATGTGATGTTGCAACAAATTCTTTGACATATAAATCAAAGAGTAACCATCAAAATCAAAATTCAGAATATAGGAAGTTTCATAGTTAATCTTACATCTTCCATTGAATAATCAATAACTTATTCAAAATTTCCTGCAAGAAGGTTCCCTAAATATCTCATATATGTATAGCCCAGTAGCTACTTAAAGATAGGCTATACGTGAAATTCACCGTCCACCTTATAATCTTCATCAGCAAAGAACCAAAGTAAATTAGTTGGTTTGAACTAAAAATGTCAATAGACAACTCTCATATATATTTAAACTTAAAACTTTATGGTTATTCGTTAACTGTTTGATCAACTTCAATGGTAGTTGTCCTTCATTTTGTTACAACTGATCTATCAAGGTGGGACTAGTATGTCAAAAAATAAAAAATCTTGAAACACATTGCAACTTCATATGAAACTTCTGCGATGTTATGTTGCACATATTATTAAGTCAACCATTACACATGGATTTGGTCATGAGTAGTAGTTGGGAATTGAAAAAAAAAAATCAAATGACAAATTAAATTATACCCAAAAAATAAAAAAATAAAAATTTTGATCTTGTAGTTATGCACGAAGTAACAATTTTAGTCCATCAGTAAACAATTTTTACCATCAATTTGTCACTTAATAAAGTGGCTGATTTGATCATTAAGGACTAAAATTTTCAACTCCATATATAATAACTTAGGGATTAAAGATGGTCAAACATGACTAAGTCTATACCACATGTATGAATGTAATTTTTCTAAAAAATATTTACTTAATTTGTAGAATTTCTACCGTAGAAATTAAATTATTTTTAAATTGGTAATTCAGATAATCTGTGTTTGGATGGAGAAATGGAGAATGATGAGTAAATCTAAGATTATCGTCCCAGTTTGATGAAACGTATACAAACGTACGTTTCCACGAAGTCACATGTTGTCCTAAGTCATAGATTAATAAAAGAGTGTACGGTTTAGTAAAAAGGTCGTCTCTTAAAATTAAAACTGAATATTCAAAAGATGTCAAAGTCAGAATTGTACTACTACCAAGTACAGGGACCACCCAGCTAGGCATGCATCCACTATTCTCACGCCACGTAATCCCACAAAACTCTCCATATATCTTCGATTCATCATATCCCTCAATATATAACTCACTGGGTTTCAGTTCTTGTCATCTTCAACTCCCTCTTCCAACCTGGCATGCATCATAGATGTGTAAATGAACATTGCCAGTTTGCAAGAAATTCACAATACGTTCTTTGATTTCACGCTGTATTTTTTCTTTCGAGTTTTCTGGGAGTTTTGGGGGTTGAAGACGATGAAGATGCGGGGTTTTTTGGTGAAGACGCCAGTTATCCGATATGTGCTCCGTCGCCGCCGTTCGTCGACGGATTACCGCCGGCTAGATCACCCTCTGCAGAAGAGCTGGCGGGAGAAGTCCGTCTGCTCGGTTTTTAGTCGGCTGAAGACCAAAGCAAAGGCGATCTGCGGCTCCTTGGGTTGGTCCCGGAATTTTGAAGAGAAGCCGGCGGTGGCGGTGCCGCCTAAAGGCCATATGGCGGTGTACGTCGGCCAGGAAGACGGCGACTTCAAGAGGATTCTGGTGCCGGTAATATACTTCAACCACCCTTTGTTCGGCGAGCTGCTTAGGGAGGCGGAAAACGAATTCGGGTTCAGTCATCCGGGCGGGATCACCATTCCTTGCCGGATCTCGGAGTTTGAGCTGGTCCAGACCCGGATCAAGCAAGGTACAGGCTGCCGGAAAATGACTATCGCCTTGAAATGATGCCGGCCAATGTTTGATTTGATTATGACGGGGACGACCACGACGACAAACATATACCTACCATGATTAAGAGTTTATTTTTTCCCCCTTTTTTCTCTTAGACATGTAATTGAGGCTTGGACTTGGAAGCCACTATTGAGCAACATATTGTATAGATGTACATAATTCAATATGCAATAACAATAAACTAGACACTAGCATAAGGAAATCAACAAGAAGCTAAGCAAAATACAAGTTTAAGGAAATTGTAAGATTAACATATATACGCAAAGATAAACACAAAATAAAGGAATAGAACTCAAGCTCGGAAGTATTATCTTCTAGATGCATTGCACAACCTAAGGATTAGGGAAAATCACACAACCAAGGAATAGAGGGGTGCACGTAGGAATCCTAGTCTATAAGTTACTCATATGAGCAAATTAACAAGGATTAGAACAATGAATTGCCTTACTCTCGTGGTGAATCAACTCCAAGTTTTTCAAGAACACAAAGCATCTAAAACCCCCAATTTTCCTCATTTTCATAGGAAAAGTCGGGTTTATGCAAGGAGTGACTTGAAATTTTGACTCAACTCTCATTGAGACCAAGAATCCTCCAAAACATGCCAATGAATGTTGTACACCAAGCATTAACAATATACAAGCACAAATCCTTCATAAACTCAAGAACCCTAGGTTAGAGTTCTTCCCCTTTTTTCAATAATCATAACTCAAACATCATGATAGATAATACAACCCTAACTCAAGTCCATAAACTAACTACTCATGACGACTAAGTAGTATAAAGAACACAAAAACACAAGTGTAAAGCATAAACATTGCAAGATAAAAGGGGAAAAGAATATTATCTACTGAAATGATGGTAGAATCTTGAAATCCAAGTGTAGATCCTTCAATAAAAGCTTGAAATATGATAAAGAACCTAAATCTACACCTAATCTAACACTAAAATATGAAAGGAAAGAGTAGAAAATAGTTAGGGTTCGAATGGGGTTCAAAACCCTCGAAAAATGAGTCAAAACTCAGTTAAAATAGAGTAAAGACGGGGGCTCGACGCGTCGAGCATTTACAGAATGCTAATCGCGACCTCACTGCCAATTCTCGACGCGTCGAGTGGCACTCTGCAACAGAATATCAGTTTGTAGGCTGATTTTAACCCTTTTGTATTTAGAATTAGGCTTCGATTTCTTCATGAAAGTTGTAGACCTTCGAGTCTTCTTTCAAATGGCGCAGAAATCACTTCATTTAGACCTTCCTAGGCCGAGATATGGTCAAATTACCAAACAGTGGTCAGTGTTAGGCGAAATCTGTAAGTTTGGAACTTCAACTTCAAGGATGATTTTGACCACTGTGGCTTCCTTTTTAGGCTTTGATGTCTGAATATGAGTTGTAGCTCTTTGAGTCTTCTTTCCAATGGGACAAGAATCAAACAATTTGGATATTATTAGGTCGAGATATGGTCCAAAGACTATGACATCGACGTGCAGGTCGGGAATTGCAATTGCATGATCACTTGCTTCTCTTTTGCTTTGGTTTGCCCAAATAACCAAGACCATTGCAAGCACCAGCCTTAGGCTTCCTTGGAAGTGTTTTGCCCATCTCCACAGCTTTCCCTTGGCTCCCATTGACTCCAATGCATCCAAAATGTTCCTTTTGACTCCAAAGACCACCAAAGTCCATGAAAGTACTCATTTTTGCTTTCAAAGCTTTTCAAATCAAATTCCTTGCAAAATAACACAAATTAGTCATAATCTAATGAAATTTGGAATAATCTATGAACAAAATGTCTTAGTGAAACGGGGAAAAATATAGACAAATAAGCACTTATCAGTTTCGATGGGGGAGGGGGGGGGGGGGGCGGCGAGTGAAAGTCGATCTTTTTTCCGTTCAGCGGTGGGCGACCCATGGCGAAGGGAGAGGAGAAGAAGTGTGAGTGAAGAAAAGAAGTAGAAGGGACGCCTCATTTATAGGCTTGAAAGGCAATCAAGAATTAAAGAGAGAATCAATGGGGATTGCGGCAAATCAGGCCGCTATCCGGCCATTAAGTGAGGACGGAAAGATAGGAAGTAACGGAAGTGACCTCGTGCAGGGAAGATCGATACTTTCCAGTACTCGAACAAGAAGGACTCGGTACCGAAAAGTGAGGGACTAGTTGATGGGGTACAGACCTAATGGGCCTAGGGCCCGAGGAAGAAAGAAGATAGTAAGGGAGGAAGATTGGGCCCGCGGAAGATCGGCCCCAATAAAAAGAAGAAGAAAAGCCCCCATATAACCAGGGACGAGCCCAGGAAGTCGACGCAAGCAGGGAGTCAGCGCGAGTAGGAAGTTGGCACGAGTAAGGAGCCGGCTCGGTAAGATAGTCGTTGGTATTTAAGAGTTCCCTTCAAGGCCCGGCCAAACAGGCCATTGGAAAGCCCAGTAATGACAGTCCAATGGCCCCTAGGTGTAATAAGGTCACTTTATGGCACTTCAATATACACATTTAAATTAGTAAGGGTGACCTACTATAAAAGGGGTCATTCGGGGAATGTAGAGGGGAGCTAAGCCGAGTTGCTCAAAGAGAAGACTAGAAAATACACAAGAAGTGATAGCCATTTCTCTGTACGAATTCATAGCTTTATTTGAAAGGTGAATCTACCAACCACGGTTGTTTTGGACCTTCCTGGGCCCAAAAACCGTAAAACCAACCGTATCTCTTCTTTATAATTTGCAAGTTAATTTATAAGAGTAAAATTTAATTTGTATATATATACCTTTCCGTAGTAATTACAAGTAATAAAAAAATCTCATTTTTCATAGGACATTCAGAAAAGTATAAATTCGTATGTCCCATGGTACGAACATGAAATTTCTGGTGTAATGTGATGTTGCAACAAATTCTTTGACATATAAGAGTAACCTCAACATCAAAATTAAAAATATATAGAAATTTTCATCATTAATCTTACATCTTCCCACTGAATAATCAATAACTTATTCAAAATTTATTTCAAGAAGATTCCCTAAATATCTCATACATGTATAGCCCAATTGCTACTTAAAGATACGCTATACGTAAATTTCACTGTTCACCTTATAAATTTTTATCAATGAAGAACCAAAGTAAATCAGTCAGTATGAACTAAAAAGGTCAATAGACAACTCTAATATAATAGAAAGTTAAGCTTAGAACCTTATGATTATTGAGTAACTGTCTTATCAACTTCGCTGGTAGTTGTCCATCACTTTGTTACAACCTAACTGATTTATCAAGATGGACTAGTATAAAAAGAAATATTGAAACACATTGCAACTTCATATGAAACTTCTACTATGTTATGTTGCACATATTATTAAGTCAACCATTACACATGGATTTGGTCATGGAGTAGTAGTTAGGAATTGAAAATAAAATCAAATGAAAATTAAATTATACAAAAAAAAAATGAAAAATTTATATTTTTTATCCTTCAGTTAGGTAGGTGGTACAAACTTAGTCAATGAGTTATATGTCTGACCATTTTTAACCCGAGCTAAGTAAAGAGACCACCCATGCATGCATCCACTATTCTCACGCCACGTAATCCCACAAAACTATCCATCTTCGATTCATCATATCCCTCAGGCATCAGTATATAACTCAGATCCCAGATCACTATGTTTCAGTTCTTGTCATCTTCAACTCCCTCTTTCAACCTGGCATGTCGTTAAACTATACGTTCTTTGATTTCACGCTGTTTCTTTTTCGAGTTTTCTGGGAGTTTTGGGGGTTGAAGACGATGAAGATGCGGGGTTTTTTGGTGAAGACGGCAGTTGTCCGACGTGTGCTCCGTCGCCGCCGTTCGTCGACGGGTTACCGCCGGCTAAATCACCCTCTGCAGAAGCGCTGGCGGGAGAAGTCCGTCTGCTCGGTCTTTAGCCGGCTGAAGACCAAAGCAAAGGCGATCTGCAGCTCCTTGGGTTGGTCCCGGAGTTTTGGCCGGCGGAAAGCGGTTGAAGAGAACCCGACCGTGGCGGTGCCGCCTAAAGGCCATGTGGCGGTGTACGTCGGCCAGAAAGACGGCGACTTCAAGAGGATTCTGGTGCCGGTAATATACTTCAACCACCCTTTGTTCGGCGAGCTGCTTAGGGAGGCGGAAAACGAATTCGGGTTCAGTCATCCGGGCGGGATCACCATTCCTTGCCGGATCTCGGAGTTTGAGCTGGTCCAGACCCGGATCAAGCAAGGTAGTCGGTGCCGGAAAATGACCATAGCCTTGAAATGATGCCGGCCAATGTCTGAGTATGACCGAGACGACGATAAACATATATATACCTACCATGATTAAGATTTAAGAGTTTATTTTTTGTCCCCTTTTTCTACATCTACATACATACACTACAAACTTATATAAATGTTGACGCTACTTTGGACCAAACTAAAAAAAGAAAATGGGCTTTGGATTTGTTCTAAGTAGCTTCTCAGGTTCATTCATTGCTGTCAGAAAACTGCCATGATTTAAAAATATATGTAGTAAAACTTATTATTCTAACATATTTGTATTATGAGAAGAAACAATTTCTTTTTTTTTTTGTTTTTTTTTATTGACATTTAAAATTTGAGCATGTGGTCATCCGACATAATATAATACTTCAATCTCATGGTATATATATAGTAGGTTGCAGAGTCCTATAAGCAATAACTAGTTGCTAATAATTGACTACTAGAAAGCATACAGTCAAACACATTTTCTCATTTCATCACCTAAATTTCTCCAGGAAAAACGAGCCATTTTTGTTCTTTTTCCCCCATCTTAGGGAACTTATATATGCTACTACATCTTTATCCCTTACTACATAAGACGACAACGTTTGTAATAGTGTAATGCATATTTCTCTCTCTCTCTGTATATATATATAGTGTGTGTGGGTGCATGCATCTACCTAGCTAGCTGGCTGCTCTCAGCAATTATCTATCTCCAACCCCAACCCATAAATGAATAATCCACGTGGCTTCTCATCTTCGTGCCATATCAACATCCTCCGTTGCCACATGTCGCCACCCAGCGGCCATCTTATTTGTTAATTACGGTGTATATTTTCTTAAGGCATCTATGTATTTTCATATTATTTTTAATAATATATATTAAATAAATAAATAAAAAAAAAAAAAAGGAAGATAAAGAGGAGTGGTGGAAAATGGAAATACATCATTTTTTTCGTGCTTGTTGAGTGCATGCAAGCAAATGTGTAACATTTACATGGTAACTATCTTTATTCATTTTTAAACTACCAAATATGCGACAAATTGCAATGTTGCATATTAGTAGCTTTACAACCAAATAGAAGAAATAGACTAGGTGAAAGTGAATATATATTTATTCTATTTGTTAGGCAGAGACTAGTAAAATCGTGAAGTGCCAGGTATAACTTCATGGCCAAATAGGGAGGGGAGGGGAAGATGAAGTGAAGTTGAATTCGACTTATGGGGTTCAGATGCATATTGGCCAAATGAAATAGAGAAATGAAGTTGAGCTTAATATATACTACTAACAGTCAAGAGTCAATGTTGCACAGATTTGAACCACGTAAACCTCTCAGAGTGCAACTTGGTGTCATAGATTAAGGTCATTGACAGATTTTTCACCCTATTTAATGCCATAAATTTCTAAATAAACCTTGTAAAGTATGCTAAAATAGTGAAGCTAGTGAAGACAATAAGGTGCAAGAGAATCGGTGCTTGGGCATATCTTACATATAGACACACAAAATATTGCCACATGGCTATCACAAGAGTGTATGTGTAAGCATCCCCATAATTAAACCGCTATATATATACGTTCATCATATCAACCCCCATTGTTCTGCCGTGGTCACAACAATATTCATCACCAAAAATGTCCAACTCCTCCGCCACTTTCCTCCTCGTCTTCAACCTCTCGCTGCTGTTAGCCGCCATTGACACACGCAATGCTTTGACTGCAAGCAATCAGGACCTCTTAGCCATAAGAACGGCTCGGTCAAACGTTTTACGTGCCCTAGAATGGTCTCAGAGTTTGCATGAGCTTCACGAACCAAGCCGCGAATCCGGTAATAATGCTGCGGCGGCCGCCGTGAGTGACTGCGCCACGCTCTATGCAGATGCCGAGGAAAGGCTAGCGCGACTAGACATTGAAAAATACGATCACGACGACGCCGTCACTTGGCTGAGCGCCGCCATGTCCAGCCACCGCAGTTGTTTGGATGGGTTGAACGAGAAGGGATTGGTTTCACACGGCCGCCATGCCTCTCAAAACTTAACCTTGTCTCTTAAACAAGCCTTGGCTAGATTTTCCCAGAAAAGAAATGTAAAGACTACTAGAAAAGGTAAGCTATTTAGTATTTAGTAATCACTATCTGAGAATATACATTAGATTAATGAAATAATTGACGGACTTTGAACGACAGTGGTGCATAAGAAGCCAAGTTCTAGCGACGGCGGGGGGCTGTTAGATTCATGGAGCTCAGCATCCTCGAAGGCCAACATCGTCGTCGCCCAAGACGGCTCCGGCAATTACAAGTCCATAAACGAGGCGGTTTCGGCACTTTCCAGAATGGGTAACGGCGGCGAAGGAAGGGTTGTGGTGTACGTGAAAGCCGGAGTTTACAATGAGAGAGTTGAAATTGAACGGGGAATCAAGAACGTAATGCTCGTCGGCGATGGAATGGATAGGACTATCATCACCGGCAACCGTAACGTCCAAGACGGTTCCACCACCTTTGGCTCCGCCACCTTTCGTATGAAATCTTGAACAATCCAAAATCTTACGACTTTAATTTTAATTTTGCATAGTATTTTAAACTAAGTATATATATATATATATATATATATATATATATATATATATATGAGTTAATGCCACATGAAGTCCCTTCGAATATAGTGGTCTTGTCACGTTTAGTCCTAAACTTTCAAATTGATCATCCGTAGTCATTCGACTTTCAAATTTAACCATTCGTGGTCCGAGTTAACCACCCATGGTCCTTCAACTTTCGAAATTTAACCAGCCGTAGTCCTTTTGAAAATACCATGGTTGGTTAAAATTTAATAGTTGAAGGACCATGAGTGGTTAACTTAGACCGCGAATGGTTAAATTTGAAAATCGAAGGACTACAAATTTTAGAACTAAACGTGGCAAAACCACTATACTCAGAGGACCTTAGATGGTATTAACTCATATATATTTCTACATCTTATATTTATAGGTGTATCGGGTGACGGGTTTTGGGCGAGAGACGTGACATTTGAGAACACGGCGGGGCCGGAGAAACACCAGGCGGTGGCGGTGGCGGTGGCGTCAGACCACGCCGTGTTCTACAGATGCAGCATGAAGGGCTACCAAGACACTCTTTATGTACATTCCCTGAGACAATTCTACCGTGACTGCCACATCTACGGCACGATCGACTTCATCTTCGGGAACGCGGCGGCGGTGCTGCAAAACTGCGACATTTTCGTGAAGAAACCGATGGACCACCAATCCAACCTGATAACGGCGCAGGGAAGAGACGACCCGAACGAGAACACAGGGATTTCGATTTTAAACTCGCGGGTGATTCCGACGCCGGAGTTGCGCGGCGGCGGCGGGGTCAAGAGTTTCTTGGGGCGGCCGTGGAGGAAGTATTCGCGGACGGTGTTCATAAAGACTGACCTGGATGGGTTGATTGATCCGAAAGGTTGGATGGAGTGGAGCGGAGATTTTGCACTGTCAACGCTGTATTATGGGGAGTATATGAACACCGGCGCCGGAGCTTCGACGCAGAACAGGGTGAATTGGCCGGGATTTCATTTGTTGAGGCAGCCGGACGAAGCTAGTCCGTTTTGTGTCAGCAATTTTATCCAGGGAGATTCTTGGATCCCAGAAAGTGGAGTGCCTTTTGGCTCCCAATTATGACATGCTTTTCTTTATTTGGCCTTTAAGGTATACGTGGTTGCCTATTTCATTTTCCCACTTACCTTTTTGTAATCCCAGATTCCCAGCTATTGTATTCTATAATTTTATAGTACGTACACAATAACAATAAGGGAAATGGTCAAATATACTCCTAAACATTATATAAAAGTGCAATTAATCTCTCAATGTAAACTTTTAAAAAGTTCAATTAAATATATAAATTTATCATTTTGATTCATTCAAATACAATAGCCGGTCAACCAATAATTAAACTTTATAGAGTTAAATCGGTCGTTGGAAACGGACCCTAATTACTTTCTTCCTCCGTCGTAGAAGGCAACCAACGTCCAGTCGCCGGTCGCCTTCTTCCTCCGTCGAAGAGGCAACCAACGTTGCCTTCTTCAATTGAGGAAGAAGGCGACCATCCTACAAGACACTTACAACATATTTTTTTTTTATAATCTTTATTGTCGAATAGGATCACAGTATAAACTTCACTTAAAATAAAATATGTGCTTTTTACATGATTACGAGAAAAGTATAAACTTCACTTAAAATAAAATATGTGCTTTTTACATGATTACGAGAAAAGTAAATCAATAGTGTAAAATAAAATATGTTTTTTTACATGATTACGGAAAAGTAAATAAATATTGTTTCTTTAGGTGTTCATAGAGTTGGTAGGTGGAGAGTTAAGGAAAGCGAAAGGATGATTGGAATATGCAGAGAGCTTAGAAAGGTAGGAACTTTCAACTCCATTTCTCACCAATTGCAGTGAAGATTTCATTAGTGTTGTAATTCCAGGTGGGATGGGAGCAACAGTTGAGGCATAAAAGAATTCCGTTGCCGGGAATTGAACCCGGGTCTCTCAGGTGAGAGCCAAGTATCCTAACCAACTAGACTACAACGGATTTGATACCAGCATTCCTTGTTTATTATTTCATATGAGAAAAATCTGATCTTTTTGCAAAGCAATTCTTTTGGCCTTGTTCTTGGTGTCTGCAAATTTCATGTGTTTGCTTTATGAATGGGATGGAAGTTTTTATTTTGCTATGAAATATGTTTTTTGGAAGTATGAATATGACTGAATGTAAATGTGATAATTTGAATTCACTAACAATGATTCTTGACATATATATTTTAAAAATTAGTACGATAATTTATTTCATGGTAAATATAAACAAATTTATATTACCATCTTTTTGTGACCGTAACAAATCTCATTAAGACTATAATATAAAGTATAATGCAAGTGTTTTTTAACACACATTTTTAGATAGTAAGTACGAATTTTTCTTGCGACCCAAAACTGCACTGTAGGCAATGGGCCTATGACCCAAAACATATTCATAGAATTCACATCCAGCCAAGGATATGGCAGAAACAGATCTTTGGAAGCAAGGGATAGCTACCAAAATGACCAGTCAGCCCTACCCTGCCCACCAACCTCTGGGGGTTGGTGGATATGAACATGTGTCTGATCATGATACAAAGAATGGTAGGCTAAATTTCTTTATTAGTATCAAAATCTTGATTATTTTTATTGAAATTAGTAATTATGTTTGCAAAGATATCCTTAATCCTTACCTACTTTCTTGTTGGTAGAGAACAAACGAGTCCACCTGCTCAAACTCCTGTTACAAATATGACTTATTATATTCAACTTTAATTCAAGAGGTTAGTGAGATTGGGACGAGCCCAACCAGAAAGTGGGTTGTTGAGATTTGAGAAAATTGATCGTGACGACGACTGGGATTGTATTAATACAAGTTCTTGAGCTCTGGGTAGTGAGAGGATATGGCGCAAATGAACAGCATGATGCAGGGTCAGCGTTTGAATCCCAGAAATCTGTCTAAACCTCAAACCCCTCTGTCTTCGCATTCCCTTTTGTTGGGGTCAAGCAGCCTGAAGAATTCACCTGTTTCTGTTAAGTTCTTGAAGAGTAATAAAGATTCGATTTTTATTGCCACCCGGTCGCCGTTACAGGTCCGGGCATCGGTGGTCACCGCCGAAAAGCCATCGAAGGCGCCGGAGGAGATTGTGCTGCAGCCCATCAAAGAGATCTCCGGCACCGTCAAGTTGCCCGGCTCTAAATCCCTCTCCAATCGCATTCTCCTCCTTGCTGCTCTTTCTCAGGTATACCTCCTGGTTCTCTCCTTCTCCCTCTCTCTCTCTCTCATCCTATATATACAGTTGATATATCATATATGCACGCATAATTTTTGAACTAAACTATATATGATGCCTTGTTTAGGAGGATTCTGAGGTTTCGATTGGGTTGTATTAGTTTAAAGGTTTCAGCTTTATAATAGTAGTTTGAGCAATCACAAAGGGATTTTTGAATTACACACTGTAAACATCATAGGATCATAAATGACTGTTTTTCCTAGGAGTACACAGTTTGTTTGATTAGACATGTTTCTGCATATTGAACTCAGGGAACAACTGTGGTAGACAATTTACTAAGCAGTGATGATATTAATTATATGCTCGGTGCATTGAGAACGCTTGGTCTTCGTGTTGAAGAAGATAACGCAATCCAGCGAGCAACTGTAGAAGGTTCGGGTGGTCTCTTCCCTGCCAGTAAGCAATCCACGGACGAAATTCAACTTTTCCTGGGAAATGCTGGAACAGCAATGCGACCATTGACTGCTGCAGTTGTTGCTGCCGGTGGAAATGCAAGGTTTTTAAACGTTCTTCCTCTCGTATATTCTTGATCTTGATTGAAGCAATTTAGTTTATAATGATCGCTAATTCTTTTGTTCTACTTATTGTCATTAGATACGTACTTGATGGAGTTCCGAGGATGAGAGAGAGACCAATTGGTGATCTTGTTGAAGGTCTAAAGCAGCTTGGAGCAGACGTTGATTGTTTCCTTGGGACAAACTGTCCCCCAGTTCGTGTAATTGGAAAGGGTGGCCTTCCTGGAGGGAAGGTGAGACTTATGGTCGGTCCATTATGATATAATTTTTGTCTATATAAACAATCTGAAGGAACGTGACTGCATAATCTGCCAATATAATTGTAGCCCAGAACTTGTAAGTTGTCTAATGCCGACTAATCTTATGGCCTTTGTTAACAGGTGAAACTCTCGGGATCAGTTAGCAGCCAATATTTGACTGCTTTGCTTATGGCCGCTCCCCTAGCTTTAGGAGATGTGGAAATTGAAATCGTTGATAAACTAATTTCTGTTCCTTACGTTGAAATGACTATTAAGTTGATGGAACGGTTTGGGGTCAGTGTAGAGCGTAGTGATAGCTGGGACAGGTTCTTGATCCGGGGAGGTCAGAAATACAAGTAAGTTTTGCGTTACTGCTGATACTTACAGCTTCATTTTTCAAATTCGAACTTTATGATAATTCGAAATTTTTCATCAGGTCTCCTGGTAATGCTTTCGTGGAAGGTGATGCTTCAAGTGCTAGTTATTTCTTAGCCGGTGCAGCTGTTACTGGGGGTACCATCACCGTTGAAGGTTGTGGAACGAGCAGTTTACAGGTATCGATCGCTATATTGAAACGATTTATGTACGTTATGCTTTGTTCTCTTTCTATTCTTGAGAGAATTGAAGAACTGAATCATCTTCTTATTAAGGGGGATGTTAAGTTTGCTGAGGTTCTCGAGAAGATGGGAGCCGAAGTTTTGTGGACAGAGAACAGTGTTACCGTGAAAGGACCACCACGGGCACCTTCGGGAAGGAAACACTTACGTGCCATTGACGTGAACATGAATAAAATGCCCGATGTTGCCATGACTCTTGCTGTAGTTGCGCTATTTGCTGATGGCCCGACAGCCATAAGAGACGGTATGTTTACATTAAAAGTGTAGTCGCAACCATGACTTTTGGTCTGGCTCTGATACCAAATTGAAGCATGTGCTCCATCTCAACTAAAAGCCTAAGCTGATAATTGGATTGCACATTAATGGTTATATGCTCAACACTTAGTACATTATATATATTTGTTTGCCCGATTCGAGAAGTTCATAATCTCGTTTCTTTCGCCATTCATAGTTGCTAGCTGGAGAGTTAAGGAAACCGAACGGATGATTGCTATATGCACAGAACTTAGAAAGGTAGACTTCCAACGCTCGATCCCTTCTTCCTTTTATGCGTTGTTCCTTACGTGTTCAATTTGGTTGGAATCCAGCTGGGAGCGACGGTCGAGGAAGGGCCAGACTACTGTATAATCACTCCACCCGAGAAACTAAACGTGACGGAAATCGACACATACGACGATCACAGAATGGCCATGGCGTTTTCTCTTGCTGCTTGTGCCGAGGTACCAGTCACCATTAAAGATCCTGGCTGTACTCGCAAGACTTTCCCAGATTATTTTGAGGTTCTTCAGAGGTTTTCTAAGCATTAAAAAGGTTTCCTTTACATCCATTTTGGAAGGTAGAGATCTGTGTTAGTTGAAAGAGCTACTCCCAACTACCATGTTCCTCTTAGTTAAGGTTGAACTGGTTTTCATTTGCAAATATAAACACGTTAAACATCAAGAATGTGTATTGTGTTCTTTATTCATGTTCCCAGATCTGTTAAAAACTGGTCTGAACAAAGACCATTTTGAATCTCAATATTCTATTTGGAGTTATGGTTCTTGTATTATACTGATTGAATGGAAAGTTAATCTTAGGGTCGGGTAAGAAAACAGGAAAATGATTTTTGAAAAATGAGTCATTTTTCAGAAAACATTTTACTGTCTCGTGTACAGCGTTTTCTGAAAAATGAGGTAGAATGGTATAATGAAACATTTTATATAATTAATTATTTTATTTAAAATATAAAAATATTTATAATAATATTATATTTTTTAAAAATCAAATACTATTACATATTAAAAGAATAAATTTAAAAACGATGAAAACTAGAGAGAAGTTTTTTTCTGGCCAAAAATCAGAGAGTACATAACCGGTGAAGCAAATAGTTTTTGCGCAGGTTCGCGGTCCAGAAAATGACTTTCGTCAAATTTTAGCGGAAGTCATTTTTCCCCAAAACAACATTATTTTTCTTTGACCCGGAAAATGATTTCTAATTTTCCGTTGACTTCTAGCACTGGAAAGCCAGAAAATGATTTTTCGGGTTTCCAAACGGACCTTTAGTGGAATAGTTTCTCGACTATTGCTTTTTCCTATTTTTGGGTTTGGGGTTCACATCAACCCGGTGATAAAATATAGTGCGCGAAGATGATCTATTTAAGTTTAGCCTGTCACTAGAAACTAACTGAAGAAGTGATCTAAGTCTTTAGCCTCGACTATTGGAGCATTGTTTAATTAGGTTTAGCTCGTCACTAGGAACCAATTGGAAAAGTGGCATAAGTCTTTGGTCCATACTCTAGCACTGCTTAGTTAGGTTTAGTCCGTCACTAGGAATTAATTGGAGAAGCAATTGAAGTCTTTGGTCTACACTTGAGCATTGTTTAGTTAGATTTAGTCCGTCACTAAAAACTAACTGATAAAATTTGTTTGATCCATACTCGAACATTGGCCACAGGTCCATTATAGACTACCCGAGCATTGGTCAATGATTGAACGAGAAATTATAATAGTGGAAATTGGAAAGACCAACACCTAATGGTACAATGTATGAGATTACAGTTATACAAAAATGTAAATTCAAGCTACTCAACAGCTCAAATGATCACAAATGTGAAATTTGGGAATAATGATTCGGGATCGAATTTCACCAACAACCATAGGATACTTTTGGGTTTAGAGATTCAGTCTTTTTGGAACAAACAACAAAAATGTGAATTAAAGCTGGAGTTGACCTCGACTACAGGGATATAATTATTGAATATTTATACAATTTCCGTCTGTCATCATTAAATACCATAAATTAATTTGGTTTGCTGCTAAACTAACTCCAAAATTTGGGCAAACATTAAGTAGCCCTTGGATCAAGCTTAATTTGTGCAGAGATAAGATGCAAGGAAAATGAAAATGGCAGTTTTGTTTGATGCTAACTGATTCTTGATCCGCCATTAGTCCACCATTATTCCTTCTTCATTGTTTAAAAATCTTTGAATTTCAAGACCTCTTTCTTCTCCTTCACCACACATTAGACCATTAGTCCACCCCCCAAATCTCTCTCTTTCCTTCTCTCTCTAATCGTTCATCCCTTAATCAATTGTCAATCTTTCTTCTGTAGAACCAAAGGGAGAAAGGAAGAAGAAGGAATACCCTCCACCACCAACAACCGTTTCCTCCAAGAAACCATAAAGATTCCCAAAATTGACGCACCCAGTTTTCATCTTTTCTTCATTTGCCAATTGCCACCACCGACTAGAATCTGTTTCTTGAAAATAGGAACCAAAAGATTGTGCCTTTCGCGCATAATAACCCTAGCCAAGTTTCAAGAAAATCTGGGCAAGTTTTCAGATTGGATTCTGGAAGAGGGAAACCCAGACTCAAATCTGCAAGAACTCCAGGAAGAATGTCCCAGATGAAGCACATTGACGATATTCCGACATCCCCGGGGAAGTTCAAGATGGAGAAGCCTCCTTATAATAGACTCAGGCTTCATTCTTCCCTTTCCAGGCTCACCTTGTGGTCCGTCGTGTTCTTGGGCGTGATCTACTTGCTGTTCTTCAGATCATCGTCTTCTTCCCCGCCTGCCACATCAGATCTCTTCCGGCGGTCTCTCAGGACCAGCTCCTACGGCGGCGCAGCTTGGGAGAAGAGGATTAGGGCCTCCGCCAAGGTCAGATCAAGAAATGGTTTCACTGTTTTGGTCACCGGCGCCGCCGGCTTCGTCGGAACCCACGTCTCGGCTGCTCTGAAACGCCGCGGAGACGGCGTCGTGGGGCTCGATTGTTTCAACGATTACTACGATCCCTCATTGAAACGCGCCCGCCAAGAACTCCTAGAGCGCGCGGGGATATTCATTGTAGAAGGGGACATCAACGATGTCGCCCTCTTGAAGAAGCTTTTCGAGATTATTCAGTTTAGCCACGTTATGCATTTGGCCGCACAGGCCGGTGTGAGATATGCAATGCAGAATCCAGGCTCATATGTGCATAGCAATATTGCTGGGCTTGTTAGTCTTCTTGAGGTCTGCAAGAGTGCTAATCCTCAGCCCTCAATCGTGTGGGCATCTTCGAGTTCCGTTTATGGATTGAATTCCAAAGTTCCCTTTTCAGAAATGGATAGAACAGACCAGCCTGCAAGTCTTTATGCTGCAACCAAGAAGGCTGGCGAGGAAATCGCCCATACATATAATCATATCTATGGGCTCTCCTTGACTGGATTGCGGTTTTTCACAGTTTATGGACCGTGGGGGAGGCCAGACATGGCTTACTTCTTTTTCACCAAGGATATCCTGAAAGGGAAGTCGATTCCCATATTCGAGGCTCCTAATCATGGCACTGTAGCCCGGGATTTCACCTACATTGACGATATAGTGAAGGGTTGTTTGGCAGCTTTGGATACTGCAGAGAAGAGTACGGGTAGTGGTGGGAAGAAGAGGGGTCCTGCTCAATTGCGAGTGTTCAATCTTGGGAACACATCGCCCGTGCCTGTTTTGGATCTCGTAAGCATTTTGGAGAGATTGTTAAAGGTGAAGGCGAAGAGGCAAATAATGAAGTTGCCAAGGAATGGAGATGTGCAGTTTACACACGCGAATATCAGCTTGGCGCAGAGGGAGCTTGGGTATAAACCGACGACTGATCTTCAGACGGGGTTGAAAAAGTTTGTACATTGGTACCTCAATTACTATGGCGATGGAAAGAAGAGTGCCCAGTGATAACATTCTTCTTTCCAACTCTGGGTAGGACCATTCGATTCTCGTCTCCTTTGATTCTTATGATTGTTTTTGACCTATCCTCGTTACCCCTCCTTTTATCTTGCTTAGTATATCTGAATTGTGAACGATGCTGTAAAAGGACCGAGCTTGTCTGATCCCATGATGAAGAAAGTGAAAGTTTGTGGACAATACACTGGATGGATACATATTGTTTTGCTTGCTGGGAATACGTTATGGTCTGTATCAAATCGAATTCGTACCCATTTTTGGTCCTCCTTGGAATGTAATCCTTTTATCATTGTAGAATTCTTTACTAATAGCAGAATTGCTTATTGGACATAAATCATCATCCTCATAAATTTCAAATAAAGTAGCACATTATTGTCCATCCATCTATCACTCATGTATTCCCTCATGGTTTGCTCTCTATCCTTGGAAGATGCTTTCATCAATGTGATAAATTACTGCTTACAGTTTCTCTTCTCCTATGTATTATTCGACTCTACATATCAATACTCGAAGATGATGTATATGTTAGGAGATTAAGTTGATATCTTTGAAGAACTTTCCTTAGGGAGAAGGAGCTAAGAGTCTGATGAAAACTATTTTTAGGACAATTACTGCTTGCATAAAGTTACAAAATGCATATTCTTGTAGCATACTTTAAGGAACAGAAAATTGGTACTAGGTAAGGTTGTGAACAGATTATGTGCTGTTAACTGTCAATATTGCACTGTTGCATGGAAGACTTTAAGTAATTGGAAGGTTTTAGTTTCAAGAATTTGGTCCAACATGGCAACAGTTGTTGTCAAGTGATAATGCTGAAGTGAAAGAACTTACAAAAGACATTTAAGATGAAAAGAACTCAAGACTGGAAGGCCAAAATGGTGCAATAGGTCTTTGACAAAACATTTAACAAAGTACAGAACAAGCTACATTCTTGAATCAAATCCAGACATTTTCATAAGATTAAAAATAACATCCAAATGCAAAATTCTTCTCAGGCAACAAGAGTGCTGGCGGTGGTGGATTCGCTGCAAAGCAATAAAAAGAGCAATGGAATGAGAATTGGATGCTTTAAAAATGGACAGAACAAATAAAGAGCATTAAGAAAGATAGATCACTTCAGAGTTCCGTAGAAACGAGAAAATGAACTTACTACTTCCAGACAGGTGGAAGCTTCTTTGTCTTCTTATAGTAGCGGGCAAGTCTGTGTATTCTGCTCTCAACAAGAATCAATCTGAACTTAGAATCCTTATCCTTCCTGTTCCTCTCCAGATGCTTCCGGATTGCAACAGCTTTCTTGATGAGGTGGTAAAGGTCCTCAGGAATCTCAGGAGCCAGTCCTAGCATTAGATTCATCACGATATACTTAGTCCATAGACATTTCATTTCTATACAATGATCTCAAGATAGAAAAACACGCACCATGGGCCTTGAGAATCCGCAAGATTTTACTACCAGTCACACTCTTAACCTGAGCAATTCCATGAGAATCACGAAGAATAACACCAATTTGGGAAGGTGTAAGACCCTTCTTTGCAAATTTGCAGATATTGTCATCAACCTGAAAATTTGGACATTATCAGAAAGCTATTTCTTGCAACTCCATAGACTATATATAGACTTCACTAGCCAAAAGTGTGTAACACTAAGTGCCAAACAAATAAAACTAAAATTACAGCAAGGTAAACGTAACTAATTGCAGTGCACCCAAACAATTAGAGCAAAAAGCAAAGCCTTCCCAAAAAGCAAAGAGAGAGCATTAAAGCACACTAAGAATAGATACAAATAGCAAAACAGAAAATATTCCAAATGGTGTTATTGTCCTACAAATCAGGCTAATTTGTTACCCATATGCATAAAAATCATTGCTTTGGGATTGAATACATGTAGCCCAGTTCACAGGTCTATGAATATAACCTCAAAATATTGAATTCCCAAGCTCATATAAAATGTACAGTACAAGTCCTTCCCTATTCCAGATATAAAGCCTAATGCACAATTCTTTATCCCCGCATCTATGAAAAGGTTACAACTTTACTCTAAAGAAACACTTATATACTCATTTCTATGCGACTATGTTCTCACATTCTACACTGAAACAAATCAATTATAAATATTCCAAAAAAAAAAAAAAAAAAAAAAAAAAAAAAAAAAAAGCAAAATTCTTACATCCTGGGAAGAGATCTTCAACCAACTGGGTGGAGTCCTCTTGTATGGAATTGCTGAAGAAGAAATACCCTTACTGTGCAGCCAAAATATTCACATTAAGAAGGAAAAAAACGATACATTGTTACACAAATGCATATACACACATTTTCATGTATAGAGAATAGAATAGAGAGCTGACCCTCGACTGTGCATACGACCCATGGTGGCTGTTGGGGGCTTCTGAGCACGTAGCTGCGGCGGCGAATCCTCTGAGCAAGCTTGGATCAGCACAAACCCTAGAATAGCAGACGGAGAAGAGATTTGGGGATTTATATGTAAGTCATTTATTTGCAGTCTAGCCCCCGGGTTTAGTTTTAATTCTATTTGTGGCAGTTCAATAGTCTTTTGATTCCACTTTTAGCCCTTAAACTTTACAAATGACAGGATTTGATCCTTCAAGATTAAACTAAATAATTATATGAATGAATGGTGCTTGCATTGATATTTAATAAATTTTTCTATTTCTAATAAGGTAGGAATAGTAAATACTATATGGAGATGGGTGTTTGGTTCAAAGAATAAATTTAATATAATTCCAACAATAATGAAGTTAAAAATGAATATAATATGAATATTATTGTATTATTTGGTTCGCAAGGCGAACAAGGAATTATAGGATAAATTATATTATTGTGTTTGGTTGGATCAGTGAATAGAAAATGAATATTATTTTTGTTTTGAAACGAAAGAACAAAATAATATACTACACATAGACACACATGCATATATACATACACAAAATTTGGAGGAAAAAATCAACATAGTAATATACAAGGGATCAGGTGCGAAGCTTCTCCCATGTGAAACGTGCAGATTAATCACAACCCCTTGATCTTGTCAAAATCAACAGCCCAGAATGAATAACAATTAAAAGAACGACGTGGCATTATAGTCATTTTATGTAAGGTCATAACTTAAGATGCATATGTTTAAAGTTTAAGGCGCGTAAGTTCAAAGCTCAAGGTACGTAAGTTTATAAAGAAAATGACTATTATCTTTGTAAAGGGAATAACCCATTCCGTGAAATTCTATTTGTTATTGGAAAAATTGAACCAAATAGCGAAATAGATTTATTCCATAGAATTTCATTCCCAATGCATTTCACGAATCAAACATTACGCGGAGGTATTAGGATTTGGGAATGGCTATTTTGTTTATAAAGAGAATAGTATAATTTTATTTCAAACTAACCAAATCATTAAATATACTTATTCAATGGAATGTTATTTGAGTTTTTTGCACTTTTGGTCCCACGACTATAGTGGCACTATCACAATTGATCCGTAACTTTCAAATTTTGCAATTTTAGTCCACGACTATTGTTTTTTTTTTTGTAAAAATGGTCTTTCCGGCCATTTTTCAGTCAAAATTCCACCTGAGTAAAATTTTTTCATTTTTAAGAGGGCTAAATTTGATATTTCGTTTAATAAGCTTGCAAGACATACTGCTCCTCTATGATTACCCACGAACAACAAACAAAATAAAATCTATTGGTTCTAGTAGATTTTATTCTGTTTGTTGTTCGGGGGTAATCGCAGAGGAGCGGTAGGTTTTGCAAGCTTATTAAGCGAAATGTCAAATTTAACTCTCTTAAAAATGAAAAAATTTTATTCCGGTGAAATTTTGACGAAAAAGTGACCGGAAGGGTCATTTTTGCCAAAAAAGTAATAGTTGTAAACTAAAATTGTAAGGTTTGAAAATCGTGGATCAATTTTGATAGTGCCATTATAGTCGTGAGACCTAAAGTGTAAAAAAGTCAATGTTATTTCATATATGACTAAGCTAGATACTCTTCATAATTTGGTCCTCTAATTTATCCATCATGACATGAATTGAAGATATAGAAATTAAAGTCAGATCAATTGTGCATGAAATTTTTTAAATACTCTGGAAAAGAGGCAAATATTCATGCATCCTAATTAATTTTGTTGTTGCTCTTTCACTCACAGTTTTATTCTTTCACAGCCCATAGATATGTATGCCATCAACAGAACTCCTACACAATTCAAAATGTTATTTCTTTCTTATTATCATTTTCTGGTCGCCATCAACAGAACTCCTACACAATTCAAAATGTTATTTCTTTCTTATTATCATTTTCTGGTGATGAAGAAAACTTACAACTATTACTCAAGAATGTGCACGAGATAAATATGGAAGCATCTCGAACCCACAATCTCTCATATGAAAGATCAACTTAGTGTCACTAGACTACAATGTCCTTGACAATCTTATTATTTACTTGATTACATTTATTGTTAACATTTATAAGCCATAGCATATTGGGTTTATAAATTTCACCATTAATTACCATTAAATTTAGTACTCTATACTTTATACACGATTACAGATCGGTATTAGATATCCATCTTTTGAACATGGCTTGACATTCTGAAGGACGAAACTCTGGTGCAGTATGACCACCTCCCTATAATATATAAATTGTAACATACAATTATTTTAATTAATCTTAATTCTTAAAACAAAAAGAATTATAGAAATAACAAAAATGTTTACCTTGACAGTAGCGAATGTCATCCGATTAGCGTATGTCCTCGTGTACCTACATGACATTATGAAAGACATAAAACTTACATCTTAACTTTTGTTAATTACCATATATTATGTGTGTTTTGATATATATATATTAACAAACTTTACAACTTAATAACTTACCCTGCAACTTGACCATCAACCATCCATGCTCTCCAATCATCCACAATAGAGTAGTTTAATGACTTCACCCATGCTTGAGTTGAAAGATACGGAACAACCATGTCATGGTCGCCACTATATATATCAAATACATAAATGATAAGTCATTTTTTATATGTAAGATAATATATGTTCACAAAAAAGGAATCGAATGTATCAAATATCTTGAAAGAACGTTCTAACCTGTAGACAAGAGACCTATAACCTTTTTTGCTGAGTCTCACATGATATGGGATAGTGTTATTGATTATGATTGTGAATGGCAAATTTGAAGTACAATGCTCCCATTCTCCTTTAGTCCCCTGCATGTGTACTTGATACTAGCTAATTGTCCTTCCATATAGATTTATAAATTATAAATAACTTATTACATGTTCATAAGAAAATCGATATATACCTTACGGACATGAAGAGCCTCTCTTGCACGATAATCGTTGGCCCAATATTCAGATAGTTTATTCCGATCATCCTACAACACATCAAATGTTCTATCATGTTTGAACTAAATATTTATTAAAACTCGCTCGTAATAAATAATGTGAGGTCTTAGCTTACTATACCCGACATTTTAATCCAGGAAGCAAATCAGGATTGCTGAGCTTTTGATGCTTCTCATGAAGAAACCTCCGTTGTCCAGGAAGCATAATAAGATTAATTGTTGAAGAATCATCATCAGATAAACAAATAGGCTCCAGAATATAATTCAGATATATTCTCTCAATCAACTGCACAAAAAAAGGGGCATCAGATCAGATCAGATCAGTGTCAAAGAACAGGATCGGAGTAACTAACTCGATCTGGCCGGGAAACATCATCTGACCTGGTTAAAGGTTTGGATATCTTGTTGACATAATAAATTGGTCGGATCAGTATCCAAATACTCTCCTTTACAATTCCTTTTTAGCGACTGCATATATACATATATACATATTTAAGATGGAGAGGAGAATTATATTATATATAAAGTTAGACAAATTAAATTAATGTTTAAATAAGCTATTAATCTTCAAACTCAATATATACAACCTCGTATAGCTCATCAGAGATAAGAGCCATTCTATGAGCAAATGGAATTTGATAGTTTCTCTCACCCGGAAAGGTTCCCGCGTTGCCAAGTATGTATCCCTGCAACGTACGTTCGTAACCCCACAATCAAACATGAGTATATATATATATATATATATATATATATATATATATATATATATATATGAGATTACACATTTATTGTTTTTATATTCAATCACGAGTTTAAACTAACCTTAAGTTGGATAAATGGCTCAATTCCTCCCTCATTACCTGCATTTCAACATAAATAATGAACATATTTCTTTTGTATTGAGTAACAGAAGCAATCTCTTTTAAGTACTTTGTTCTTACATACCATTTGATATCATTTCAGTAACTATTGGAACTGTAATGCCAGAGTATGAGTCGCCACCAACATAAAAAGGATTCGAAAGGAATTCTGGATAATCAACCAGCCACTAAAGTGTTGAAAAGATCAATGTTTTAATTTTTCGGGACATATATATATATATATATATATATATATATATATATATATATATATAATCAGAGAGTCAAAAACAGGATTAAGCTAAGGGAGAAACCTTTCGAAGAAACTCATATGCATTGCTGCCCGTCAATAAATTATCAGATTGAGCATTTTTTAAAGTTGTAGCATACGAAAATCCAGTACCAACGGGCAAATCCAGAAATATAAAGCTTGCTACCTAACAACATATTATATGCCAATTACACAATTAAGTCATATTTCATATCATATTTACATTGACAAAGTATAATTGAGGATCAACATTATATTATATATATTCACCTTTGTCCATGAATAAGGAAATGGTAGCAACCTGGGCAAACTCCCATTATACTCCACTGGTTCAATAAAGAATGGTCCTGCACGCGCGCGCGCGCACACACACACATATATATATATATATATATATATATATATATATATATATATATATATAATCACTTCATTATAACTTCACTTTAAATCAAGAAAGTACGATTATTATATATAAATATATACCAATTTCTTGAATGATAGCACATAATGAAGAGCAGCCAGGACCCCCTGTGATCCATAGAATTAGAGGGTCTTCTTCTGGATTTGAATCCGACTTTATGAAATAATAAAATAATTGCACTTCTTCATTCTCTCCCACGCCCATGTACCTAAAATCCAAATATATATATATATATATATTGAATTTATACATAATTCTAGCTCTTATATAATGAAAGTAATTAAGGCAGAAATGAAAATCTAAACCCTAATTAACTAACCCAGTTTCCAGATGAAAAGGAAGAGGACCATCAAAGCCAGGAAGAAACTTGACAGGTGAAGCTGCTTCTGCATGGCGGCTATGGCAGCTGAGATTGAACAATGCCGCCACTACAAGGAAGAAGACGACGGCCAAGCTAGCAGAGTAGCCACTCCACATTCTTTTTCTGGGGTAGTGTTAGTATGCTTTAATTTCTTCAAAGCCATCCGGTGAATAAAAAAGCAAAATTTATTAAAGGTGGACTAGCTGTACTGAGTTGTACAGGCTGGTTGGTTGTGGTTTAAATGTTTTGTTTTTGAAAACGTGGTTTAAATGTTGAATCATATCACTAGCTGTAAACTTGTCAAAAGTCTCTAAGAATTGAAGACATACACAAGAATTCCATTACGTTACTACAGTCTGCAATTAAGGCAACTATAGAATAGTACTAAGGCTTTGTTTGACAGAGCTTATAGCTTATTTTAAGCTACTAATAAGTTATAAGCTCTGTTCGGTAATGTTTCCAAAATAAGCTCCTAACCTAAAATAAGAGCTTATTTTGAAACGCTACCTTAGGTAGCGTTTTGAAATAAGCTCCTAGCTTCCTAACTTTTTTTCCATCTTTATCCTTATTATTTTAAAGAAATGACATAATTATCCTTCCCAATTAAAATCATTTTTTCTTCTTCTTTATCCGCAACTTTCACCGCAATTATTATTATTATTATTATTATTATTATTATTATTATTATTATTATTATTATTATTATTATTATTATTATTGAAGAGATTGTTATTATTATTATTATTATTATTATTATTATTATTATTATTATTATTATTATTATGAGATTTGAAACAATATTGCTACTTCATTATGAGATGCTAGATCATGATTATGCTAATAGTTTTATTTTAAAATGTTAAATTTTAATATGTAAACAAACTAATTTAAATTTTATGAAGATGTCATTTTTAGTCTTTTTACCTTTATCACCCTATCAAAAAGCTAATTTCACCAAACACTTTCAATCATAGCAGCTAGCTTAACAGCTCTTTAGTTTTCAGCTCCGAACTTATAGCTTTTCAGCTTTCAGCTCCTTTTCAGCTTTCAGCTCCTAGCTTATAGCTTTTCAGCTAGGTTTGCCAAACAGAGCCACAGTCTGCAATTAAGGCAACTATAGAATAGTACTAAGGCTCTGTTTGGCAAACCTAGCTGAAAAGCTATAAGCTAGGAGCTGATAGCTGAAAAGGAGCTGAAAGCTGAAAAGCTATAAGCTCGGAGTTGAAAATTGAAGAGCTGTTAAGCTAGCTGTTATGATTGAAAGTGTTTGGTAAAATTAGCTTTTTGATAAGCTGATAAGTGTAAAAAGACTAAAAAGGACATCTTTATAAAATTTAAATTAGTTTGTTTACATACTAAAATTTAACATTTCGTCTTCCAAAAAAAGTAAACACTTTTTAAAATAAAACTATTAGCATGATCATGATCTAGCATCCTATAATGAAGTAGCAATATTGTTGCGAATCTCCTTCATCTCCATAGAGGTGTGACTTAAATTTTCGTTGATGGAGATATTACTACTTGAATCTTGAAGTTCATCGGGCGGTATGTAATCTGGATGCTGCTCAAGCACATTAAACATCATGTCATCTTGTGAATTCTTCCGAATATAATTATGTAGTGCAAATGTGGCCATAATAACATCAATTTGGGTCTCCTCACTAAACTGCGGCATTTTAACAAGTATCTTCCATCTCTTATTCAATACTCCAAACGACCTCTCAATACAACTTCGAAGAGAAGAATGTGCACGATTGAATGCTTCTTGAGCATTAGTTGGCGGCTCTTGTTCAATTTGAGATTGAAGCCATATTGCTAATTTTAAAATAACATTAATAATAATAATAATAATAATAATAATAATAATAATAATAATAATAATAAGCTAAAGTTTCAACATAATTGTTTAGCAGGAAACAAAACTAAGGAAGGGATTGACGTGAAAGTTGGGATAGGGGAAGAGAAAGGATTTTAATTCATAAGGTTAAAATATGTCATTACTTTAAAATAATAAGGATAAAGATGGAAAAAAAGTTAGGAAGCTAGTAGCTTATTTTGAAACGCTACCTAAAGTAGCGTTCCAAAATAAGCTCTTATTTTAAGCTAGGAGCTTATTTTAGGAACATTACCAAACAGAGCTTATAGCTTATTAGTAGCTTAAAATAAGCTATAAGCTCTTAGCTTAGTGTTGCCAAACAGAGCCTAAGGCTCTGTTTGGTAGAGCTTATTTAGGAGCTTATAGCTTATTTTAAACTCCTAATAAACTATAAGCTCTATTTGGTAATGTTCCAAAAATAAGCTCCTAGCTTAAAATAAGAGCTTATTTTGGAACGCTACTTTAGGTAGCGTTTCAAAATAAGCTCCTAACTTCCTAACTTTTTTTTTTTCATATTAATCCTTATTATTTTAAAGAAATGACATAATTTATCCTTCCCAATTAAAACTTTTTTCTCTTCTCCTTTATCCGCAACTTTCACCGCAAATATTATTATTATTATTATTATTATTATTATTATTATTATTATTATTATTATTATTATTATTATTAGATTTGCAACAATATTGCTACTTCATTATGAGATGCTAGATCATGATTATGCTAATAGTTTTATTTCAAAATGTTAATTTTTTTAAAGACAAAATGTTAAATTTTAATATGTAAACAAACTAATTTAAATTTATAAAGATGTCCTTTTTAGTCTTTTTACATTTATCAGCTTATCAAAAAGCTATTTTTACCAAACACTTTCAATCATAACAGCTAGCTTAACAGCTTTTCAGTTTTCAGCTCCGAGCTTATAGCTTTTCAACTTTCAGCTCCTAGCTTATAGCTTTTCAGCTAGGTTTGCCAAACAGAGTCTAAAAAGGAAAAACTCAAAATGAGATGTTTGGTTAAAGTTGTCAACTTTAGCTTTGGAGGTAGAAAAAAATAAAAAGGAAATTTGGTAGTTATCTTAAAGCAATGGAGCATCCAAACATCATGGACTAATGAAACTCTAAGTCAGAGATTATGAGTTTGTGGAAGAAGTAATGTTAGTTAAAATTGTTGTTTTTTTTTTAAAATTAATTATACATAGGACACCTTGTGGTCTGACAAAGAAAAGTTTGATAGGTAATATTATCTTCTTTTTTTTTTTTTTTAAACAAACACCAAGATAATTCATTAAAGATTCAAAAAGCCAGCAATACAATCAGGTGGGATGACACCCCACGACTTTGAGACAGACGAAGAACCAGTTGCCCGGGCAAGCCTATGAGCCACGTGATTCGCTGTTCTCTTGACATGATGGACCTTAACGTCCCCTATGCCTCTAGCAATCAACAGACATTGCTTTACAATCAAACCTACATAAGAATAGTCTACCACACGGGAATTGAAAGCATTACAGAAAGCTAAAAAATCAGATTCTAAAATAACATTATTATGATGCAATCCTGCCAACCATTTAAGAGTTTCAAGTACCGCAAGAGCTTCGACCAAGAGTGGTCCTGGGTATTTGTAGTTCGACCACTTATTGCAGCAACAAAACGGTCAGAATGGTCTCGAAGAACAGCACCGTAGCCTGCTCCATTTGAGAAGATGGCCGCATCGACATTGCATTTGATGAAATTAAAAGGTGGTGGTACCCAATGAGTAACATGGTTACATCTGAGTGCAAGATTAATAATCATTTATGATAATTATTAGGAATTAAAAAAATATAAATAAGAAAGAATAAGAAAAACAAAAGAAGAAAACATGTATAGATGTCATATAATATCTTACATAAGGCAAATTGATATAAAATTTAATAATTACTTTGAAATAAAATGTAGAAAATACTGTAGGAAACATTGCGATATTACAATTAAAAAAATATACTATTATTTTATTAATTTCCAAAAACATCGCCGATCAAATCACTCATTTTTTCTGATCGGCGGTGGCGGCGGCTTCCTCTTCAAAGACTTATAATTTTTGTAGTCATCAACTCATTGTATTTATAGGTGAAAAATATGATAATTATCAATTTGTTAAATTGGTCAAAAAAGAAAGTGGATTTATTTATTTAAGGTATTGCCCTAATCAATTCAATATATTGATATTCCTAATCAATTCAATATATTGATATTCCTAATCAATTTATTATATTAATATTCCTAATTAATCTTATTCCTAATGAACTCATAAATATTTAATTAATTTGACTACAAAAATTTGGACCGAGAAATGAAATAGGAGGATTTTACTTATATATAGATTACCATACTATTGTGCAGGTGACGGGACTGACTCTGTGATGAAAAAGTACACTGATGCTCAAACCCACAACCTCCCATATAGAAGATCAACTTAGTACCGCTAGACTACAATGTCCTTGGCAATCTTATTATTTACTTGATTACATTTTATTGTTAACATTTATAAGCTATAGCATATTGGGTTTACAAATTTCAACCATTAATTACGATTAAATTTAGTACTCTATACTTTATACACGATTAAAGATCTGTATTAGATATCCATCTTTTGAACATGGCTTGGCATTCTGAAGGACGAAACTCTGGTGCAGTATGACCACCTCCCTGCAATATATAAATTGTAACATACAATTATTTTAATTAATCTTAATTCTTAAAACAAAAATAATTATAAAAATATCAAAAATGTTTACCTTGACAGTAGCGAATGTCATCCGATTAGCGTATGTCCTCATGTACCTACATGACATTATGAAATACATAAAACTTACATCTTAACTTTTGTTAATTACCATATATTATGTGTGTTTTGATATATATATATATATATATATATATATATATATATATATATATATATATATATATGAGTTTTTTGCACTTTTGGTCCCACGACTATAGTGGCACTAGCAGAGTTGATCCACGACTTTTGAACCTTGCAATTTTAGTCCACGACTATTGATTTTTTTGCAAAAATGGTCCTTCCGGCCACTTTTCTGTCAAAATTTCACCGGAAAAAAAATTCTCCATTTTAACAGGGCAAAAATTGACATTTTATTTATCTCAAAAAATAAAAGAAAAAAATTGACATTTGATTACATACAATATTACTGGGCTACATACTACTGCCCCAGGAGGCGGAGTTCCTAGAGCAGGCAGGGGTGTCAGTAAGCGGCGGAGCGGCCGTGGCGTTCCCCGGGCTAGTTGGGTTATCCGGCAGCAGCAGCCAGCACGCCTGCCGGATCATTCGAAGACATCGGAAAAGTTTCG